CGCATATGTTTATTGTGGGGTCCAGCCCACATTTTAAGGAAGTTGTTTTCTTCCTTTCTTCTTCATTTTCAAAGTTGACAGAAGCAGGCAGCCCACGTTTCTCATTTTTCTGTCAAAAATGACAGGCTGCAGAAGTTGAAAGGTCAAGGTTGGTAGGCATATTTTGCCTATAAAATGAGAGTTGGGCTCTCATTCTTTCATCACAATCTCAGAGGAAAATATATCTGAGAGCTAGAAAGAAAGAGTGAGGTTTCACAGACAGGGTATAAGAAAATAGTCTGTGAAGAAAATAAAGAGTGTGAGCGATATTGTAGTGAGGTGAAATATCAAAAGAGGGTTATTTCTTTTGAGTATTATAGTGGTCTTTGTAGTATTTTTACTCGGGCCTACAAAGTGTAAATTCCTTATTATAGTGATATCAGTTGCTCCTCTCGGGGTCGTGGTTTTTTCCTTATTCAGAAGGGTTTTTCACGTAAAAATCTTGGTGTCATTGTTACTCTTTTATTCTTGTTAATTACCGTATCTCTGCTGCATTATTATTCCGCTTTTATTACCGTGAATATTATTTTGGTAGGGGGTTTATTCCCAACAACTGGTATCAGAGCATAGGTTCTGCTCGTTCACTGAAATACTATTCACTGTCGGTAGTACTATACTTGATGAAAAATAAAAATGTCCGGAGTAAAGTACGAGGTAGCAAAATTCAACAGAGATAACGGTTTCTCAACATGGCAAAGAAGGATGAGAGATCTGCTCATCCAACAAGGATTACACAAGGTTCTAGATGCTGATTCCAAAAAACCTGATACCATGAAAGCTAAGGATTGGGCTGACTTGGATGAAAGAGTTGCTAATGCAATCAGGTTGCACTTATCAGATGACGTGGTAAATAACATCATTGATGAAGACACTGCACGTGGAATTTGGACGAGGTTGGAAAGCCTATACATGTCCAAAACCCTGACAAATAAATTGTACCTAAAGAAACAGTTATACGCCCTACACATGAGTGAAGGTACGAATTTTTTGTCACATTTAAATGTGTTTAACGGACTAATCACACAGCTTGCCAATCTCGGAGTGAAAATCGAGGAAGAAGATAAAGTTATTTTGCTATTGAACTCATTGCCATCTTCGTATTATAATTTGGCAACAACCATCCTGCACGGTAAGACCACTATTGAGTTGAAGATGTCACATCGACTCTTCTACTCAATGAGAAGATGAGAAAGAAGCCTGAAAATCAAGAACAGACTCTCATCACAGAAGGTAGAGGCAAGAGTTATCAAAGGAGTTCGAGCAACTATGGTAGATCCGGAGCTCGTGGGAAGTCAAAGAACCGATCCAAATCAAGAGTCAGAAATTGCTACAACTGTAATCAACCAGGTCACTTCAAAAGAGATTGCCCAAATCCAAGGAAGGGCAAAGGTGAAGCCAGTGGCCAGAAGAATGACAACAACACAGCTGCCATGGTGCAAAATAATGATAATGTTGTCCTTTTTATAAATGAGGAAGAGGAATGCATGCACCTATCAGGTCCAGAGTCGGAATGGGTGGTTAACACATCGGCATCTTACCATGCCACACCGGTAAGAGATCTTTTTTGCAGATATGTAGAATGTGATATCGGCACAGTGAGAATGGGTAACACAAGTTACTCAAAGATTGCGGGGATTGGTGACATTTGTATCAAGACAAATGTCGGATGCACATTGGTTCTAAAGGATGTGCGGCATGTACCTGATTTGCGGATGAACTTGATCTCGGGAATTGCTTTAGACCGAGATGGATACGAGAGTTATTTTGCAAATCAAAAGTGGAGACTCACTAAGGGATCATTGGTGATTGCAAAGGGAGTTGCTCGTGGCACGTTGTACAGGACAAATGCAGAAATATGCCAAGGTGAATTGAACGCGGCACAAGATGAGATTTCTGTAGATTTATGGCACAAAAGAATGGGTCATATGAGCGAGAAGGGATTGCAGATTCTTGCCAAGAAATCACTCATTTCTTATGCCAAAGGTACAACTGTAAAACCTTGTGACTACTGTTTATTTGGTAAGCAGCATAGAGTCTCATTTCAGACATCGTCTGAAAGAAAATTGAATATACTTGATTTAGTATATTCTGATGTTTGCGGCCCAATGGAAATTGAATCAATGGGCGGTAACAAATATTTTGTTACTTTTATTGATGATGCTTCACGAAAATTATGGGTTTATATTTTGAAAACCAAAGATCAGGTGTTTCAAGTTTTCCAGAAGTTTCATGCTCTAGTAGAAAGGGAGACGGGTCGAAAGCTAAAGCGTCTACGAAGTGATAATGGAGGTGAGTACACTTCAAGGGAATTTGAAGAGTATTGTTCAAGTCATAGGATCAGACATGAAAAGACAGTTCCTGGAACCCTACAACACAATGGCGTAGCCGAGAGGATGAACCGCACCATTGTATAGAAGGTGAGAAGCATGCTCAGATTGGCTAAACTGCCTAAGTCATTCTGGGGTGAAGTAGTTTAGACAGCCTGTTACCTGATCAATAGGAGTCCATCAGTTCCGTTGGCGTTTGAAATCCCAGAGAGAGTTTGGACCAANGTCTATTCGAACAATTTTGATCTTAGCAGCTAGCCTAGATCTTGAAGTGGAGCAGTTGGATGTGAAAACTGCATTTCTTCATGGAGATTTGGAAGAAGAGATTTATATGGNNTAGGTACATGAAGTTTGACTCATTCATGAAAAGTCAAACATACCTAAAGACCTATTCTGATCCAT